CAAGGAATAACAGCCGCAAATTGATTGAGAGTAGGTTCAGGCTTGATATCAGGAGGCATTACTTTACGGTTAGGGCTGCCAGGCTCTAGAAGGGGCTCCCCCAAGGGAGGTGGTACTCTCCCTTACCTTGGGAGTCTTCAAGAGGAGGTTGGATAGATTTCTGGCTGGGGTATTATGATCCCAGCACTCGTTCCTGCCCAGGGCAGGGGGTCAGACTTGATGATCTGTTCAGGTCCCTTCCAACCCCTAGAAACTATGAAACTGGATTAGGAACTTCACTGCAAGGTGGTCCTTCCCCAAATGATCTGGGGGCAGCAGAGCTGTCAGCCTGGCTGCAGGCTTGCCACTGGAGCAAGCTCTCTGTGATCACATCATCCAGAGCAGAAGTTAATGCTTATAGGAAAAGGAGAGAGAACAGAACAAATATGGGTTATTTATAAGCCAGAGGAGAGTATGAGGCAGAGCTCCTGTGCATGGCTGGAGTAAGTGGTAGGCTTTCTAAGAGAGGATTTAGCAGGTGAGAAGGCATAATACTTCCCAGGAGATGAGCCCATCACCAGCCATCCCATGAAAAGGCAGCGAGCAGCAAAAAGAAACATCATGGGTGAGGAGAACTACCAATGCTAAGTCCACAATGGATGTCCCATACATTAACAGAAAAGCCATAAGTCATCCATCTAGTGCCCAAAGCAAATTGCTGACTGCATTGAGTTTATCCAGCCCAGGTCAATGAGTCCAATTTTGTTGTAGCTTGACTGCTCTCACTGTGGATTCCTGAGCTTTGCTGGGACGAAATCAGGTAGACAAGTAAGATTAATTCTCATAACAACTCTGACCCACCCAGCTGGATGTTAATAGCTTTGAAGCTCTGTGAGTAGTGCTAGGTAGGAAATGGGTTTCCCATTCCAAGTAAGTTTTCAGGATATCAAAAATGTTCCTTTTCTGCAAGACCCTTCAAAGGGCAAAACAAGAGAGATGTGAGACCCAGAACCTCACATGTTCCTTCCCTATCTTACTTGGACCAGGGACCAATCTATCCCACATCCCAGATACATGCCAAAACCATGCAAGGAGCTGTCACAGTCAGCAGAACCCCATATGTTTCCAAAGGAGTTAATATAACCAGCCTCCCCCAGCAACAGAAGAACAAGGGAGTGGGTAAGCTATAGCTCAGTGCTCTGGAGAAAGGAGGGAAGGGGGACATAAATAGAGGAGTGGGGTAATGGGAGAGCACTGACCCTACCTCAAAGAAGGAGGGCATTCCTTGAGGGATGGGTCCCATTCCTCCCCTCCCCCAGGTAGTTTACTTGCAGTCTGCCAGGCCACAAGGGCCAGGACAAGCCCTGCCAAAAGGCTAATGGACAGCTCCTCTCCTGAGAATCAAGCACTCACTTTATCATCTGGGGGACTGTGCAGGAGCAACCAGCCTATTTGCCATTTCACACTCTGTGCTGTATACTTGGAAAAGCTCCAGCAGAGCCCAACCTTCCCTGTTAACTCTACAGCAGCAGTTTTCAAACTAAGGTAGATGTACCCCCTGGGGTGTGCAGCACTTTGCCAAAGGCATGTGCCTAAATTTTAACGTCAGTGACCATGCATGAGCAGCAATATTTTTCAGGCAAAAGGGTGCATGGCCAAAGAAGTCTGAAAATCGCTGCTCTGTGCACACAGAAGGCCACTACACCATCAGGTAACCAGAAGCACCTTTCATAGAACCTCAGGAAAGAGCTGTTTAAGTTACCCCAGTGAGAGCCACAGTATAGGACAGCACAGGTGCAAGCAAGTGCAGGGTCAAGCCCTACAGCATCAGGCCATATACCTAGTTACTGACCAGGCAGGACTGGCACAGACCATCAACAATCACTTCTCCCTCTTTCTCAGTGAATTCAGTGCTAGCATCATGTGCCAAATATTTAGCCCTAGAGACTAAAGACTCCCCATTAAACATTGATCAAACGCCACACAGACAGCAGCTGAATAGGCTTCCTCACACCAACACTTCAAGTCTCCACTAATTTGCTTTAACTCTAGGAAATGACCTCAAAGGGAAGAAGATGGTGGTGGCTCTCCAAGACCAAGTCAACCCCTGGCTTCTTTGCAAAGCCTGCCAGCAAGAAGCCTCTGAGTGCAGATGACCCAAAGGAATATTTAGAAACAATTGAAGAAATTGCATGTATTACTTCATTCAAGGCACCTGGAACAAGCTAACTGATAAGTATCCTACTTCTCCTTTCAACGCTTCGTACAAGCTTACCCACTGGATCTCCTCCCTGAAGGCAAAGCCGTTGTAATCACATAAAGCAGCATACGTCTCCGAAAACCCACCTATGAATGGAAGACAACATTAACAACAGAAACATTATCAGAAGCCCCTGAAGGAAAGGCAGGAGAAAGGACATATAAGGCCTTTCCCCAACTAATCCCGAATCAGGACTTGAGAACCTCTCCCCGTCTGATATTGACTCCTTCGGTGTGCATGTATTTCACTTTCCCAGCTTCCTAGACAGAGGAACATGCCCTGAGAAACATGGTCTGCCTGGCCGCGCTCGCTCTGCACATTCCAGATCTGGAGAGGGAACAATGAAGCCTGCTCCTAAAAAGGCCTCCACTGCCACTCTCAAGCATGCCAGATCTTGAGAGCAGCAGGGCAGACAGTGACACTCTCATTGATACTTCCCCACCTCCTTTCTGGGTCTGCGGTGCGTGGAGGAGGAGGAGGAAGAAGTGGGCAGGACTGTGCTTCTCAGCACTCCTCTCAAGAGTGATATGAAAACACTACACACATACCCTCTGTGAAAGAAGGAACATGGACCAAGACATCAGATATAACACGCAACTTTCTCAGGCCAAACTCTTTTATTAAAGTAGGATGCTTGGACCATAACATTATCATTTACCTTTTTGAAATATTTTTTTTAAATCAATGTTATATACATCTACTAAAACATACAAAAAGCTATACTATCTTAGAATTGCAAACCTGAGCCATAAAAATTTAGCAAGTACCAGAATCAGGGTGACTCAGCAAACTTTAAATTGCCCCTTTATGCAAATACAACATAAGACAATCTTATCACATGCCAGAAGTATAGCAGGGCAGTAAGTTTTATGTCCCACCCTCAAAGGCCCAGGACCACTTCCCCTTCATCCCACAGTTACACTGCTGTCACATACATTATTACCTACAACTGTTTTCCACAGGACTTCTGCCTTATATGCACACTTGACTTCAAAGGGACTACTGATGTGAATGAAGTTAAGCACATAAGAAGAAATGCCTCCACAACTGGTACCAATAGCATTTATACATGTTCTTCAGCCTATGACAATGGCTAGAAAAAGAAAGTCCACTCAGTCCACCTCCCTATACCCTCCACTAGCCCACAGTCTTTCTGAGATTTTGGGATTGGAATTATATTAACTTGTGCCAACAACATATACTTTATGTGCATTATGTGTCATGTCTTATATTTGTGCAGAGGCTGACACCACACAGCTCCTGGCTAGGCCCAAGTCTTTCAATCTTAGAGGGTTATTTATAGAATTTTTTGTTTTCTTCTGATATATGTCCACAAAAAAAAGTTGGTTACCACAAGGCCCTTGGTTGTTCTGCAGCATTTCCTCCAGGGAGTCTATTTTCTTTCGGATTCTCTGGTACAAATTGGGGGGAGAGTTCTTGAGCAGTTTCCTAAGAAAATAACCCAAGGTTAGGCAAAGAAAAAGCAAGAGGCAGAAAGTGCCTTCAGCCACATGCTACATACAGACCCAGAAAAACCCCACTGCTTGTTTCAATAGGAAACCTTTGGATTTATTTGCCTTGCTACTCCCTATGTCCCTTTGTGATGACTCTTCCATTATACTGAAGGAACACAGTAATACATATCCATTTGCCCTGAAATTGAAATTGTATGTATGCAAGGTAGCGTAGGTCTTAAGTAGGAGAATTGCGGGGCTTTCTGCAGAACTCTACCAGTCTGCCCCACTGTATGTAAAGCACCTCAGGTCCTGATGAGCAGATGTATACGGACTAGCCTTACCCAGGTGAAGAATCTGGAAAGACCTTTTTAAGCGCCATGGTGACGTGGATGACAATCTGCTCCAAATCATCAAATGACATCAGCCTAAAGGCATAAGAAGACGTATCGGTTTCTATGACAACCTGTAGGGACAAAAAAAAGTGAGAGACGAATGACATTTGAGGAAATGAGCAAAAGGAAAGTGTTATAAAAATTCTCAGATATTTCAGTAATGAGAGCAAATGAGAAAAGCCATAAGCTAAGAGACAGTTTACAGAGGTATGAAAAAGTCTTAGCATTATTACATATGATGATAGGTGAAAACTATGTTCAAATGGAGTTGAGGATGAGAGTAATCTCAGTAATTCAGGGAACAATATAAACAATAGTGTAATTATTTGAAAAAACAAAGCATTACAAACCCAAGAAATTCCACGTTAAGGATGAAGTTAAAGAAGCCCAACCCCAATAAAGTACAAAAAGCATACAACTTAAGGACAGAAATACCCTTAGCTATGCACTATACTAACACCATAGCATAATCATGTGATGATATTTTAGTATTTGTGATCTCAGATTAATTATATTGTTTTAAAGGTATGGGGGCCCTCCATGCAGTCTGTTTTATTAAAGTTTAAAACAAAGGGAGAAAAGGTCAAGTGCAGAATGCTACATTTCTAAAGGACACATTTTAAAATTAATTTTAACTTTTTAACTAATCAATGATAAAGTGCAAAACTCAAATCAGCCTTAATTATGGCACTGCAAATGGTACCTCCATCCTAAATCACCATTGACAAGGTAAAAATGGGCAGCAGATTCCATGCCAGGTGAGCTCTCATGGTAGTCCATAAAACAAGTGAACTCCATTTTTTCCCCACTGCCTTGCCAACTTCTCACCTGCTGGAAATAGGGGCAGCCCCCACGAAGTCACTGTATTTACACCTACACAGGCTAGGTCTGAACTTTGCCCAATTAATTTTTTTTCAGAGCTTCACACCAGATGAAATCATAGGTTTAGTTTGAACTCCCAGGTAACACAGACAGTAAGAATTCACCAAGTCAGCCGTGCACTCAGCGTAATGGCTGGTATTTGACTAAAGCCGATCTTCCAGCTTACATAACACATTTCAATCCACCTGAGCTCCTCCTTCCTGAATACCTTCATGCATAACAGGGCTTTTCATATCATCCCTAGCAATTTTTCTTTAATTCAACCTTTGACTCTTGTAATACATTTTCCCACTTGATATCCCACACACAGTGCTCTAGCACAGGGGCTGACAACCCCCGGCACCACGCCGAGCATGGCACGCGAGGCCATTTTTCTCGGCACGGTGGGGGCTGGAGAGGCAGCAGCTGTTTGTAGCCTCCTGGCAGCAGCCAGCCCCGGCTCGGGGGAGCTGCTGCCAGCCGGGAGCCCGGGCTGCTCCCAGCAGACAGCGGGGATGCTGCAAGCCCTGCTGGGAGCAGCCTGGACTCCGTGGCTATCAGCAGCTCCCCCGAGCCGGGGCCGGGGCTACAAACAGCTGCTGCCTCTCTGCTCCCGGCCCCAACAGGCGCGGTGCCGGCACCTGCTGCCTTCCCGGAGCCCGGGCTCGGGCGGGCAGCAGCTGTTTGTAGCCTCCCGACCGCAGAGCCTGGGCTGCTCCCGTGGCAGCCCTGCTGCAAGAAGCCCGAGCTCCGTGGCTATCAGCAGCTACCCAGAACCCGGGCCAGCTGCACGCATCTGCTGGCTCTGTCCCAGCCCCGGGCTCCGGGGAGGCGGCACACCGGCAGTGCTCCCCGCTGTGCTGGACCCGGCGCGGGGCGCAGAGAGCTCCCCGCTGGCCTGCCGCACTTCCCCTGCAGGCACAGCCCTGCCTGCTGCCCACGCTGCTCCCGGGAGCCCAGGGGAAGTGGCAGGCAGCCCTCTGCGCCCCCCGCCGTGCCCGCC